TTTGTCCCCAATCTTCAACCCCTTATAGTAATACCCTATGTGGCAGACAAAATATTCGTAACAATGAAGACACCCAACTTACTCCCAAGCACATAAGTGGTGTTCTTTAAGAGACTACTATGATGTTCCACTTAAAATTAAATATCTAGTTAGAAAATGTCCAAAATACCAGCTGAAAAACTGGCCACATCATCGGATCTACAAAAAATTCCTTGAAGACACTAATTTATTAAACAAATATAATATTTAAAGATAAATTATCTCATGTATATGTGTGTATATCGCTAATTACCCTAGAGATTGTTAAGAGTATATTCGTGAAATTAAAAATAAACGATGAAAGGACGTATTTATGAATTTCTAGCAGCTACATTATCATTTCTAATATCTATTTACTCTAAATAGCTCTATTTAAACACGCCACATATTCAATTTGAGCACAGCATCGTAGCTAACAAGTTAATACTTCTACACAAACACAAACAAACGCAGCATCACCCAAATGTAAACAGTTATATTCGGTAAAACTGAATGTGAGCCAAATACTAACGTTTATTGTATACAAGGCTTTTAACTACCGAAGAGATAATACTACGAAGACCGTTAAAGTCTCCTTTGAAGCAACTTCCACGGGCGTCTTAACGCTATAAAGCACAGCTGGTTCAGTTTCCAACTTTGGTCATTGGATTATAATAATTGTGGGATATGGAGTAGAGAAAGTGGTCACTTGAATGTTTAGTTTCAAACACAAACTTTCTGGGTTATTTAGAGCGTGGGACAAATGGAGAAATATTTTCTCGAGTTCGACATACATATAGAATAAGTAATTCTGCATCGGTCATAACAAAGTTTAAATTTTTATATACTAAGAATTATTTAGTGTCTTCTATAGATATAAGGTCTTCTTGGAAATATTCAGTCCTTATTAGAGTATAGTCGGGTTATGCAAAAATCATCGATTTTACAGCAAAATTTTTTGCAGATCTCTAAAGCTTTTAAGACATAGACATAGGTGGTGGTTACTAGATGACGAATAGATAAAAAAGTGCTCGTATTTTTACCTTGCGTTTTTGTAACAATAATTTATGGTCACAATTTGATTTTTTGTCTATAAGTTTTTTCTCTTATATTTTAAATTAAAATTGATAATTTATGGACATATTTGTAAAAAATTCAGTTTTTTTTTTTGTAGTAATTATAAATTTTATTAATTTTTTTATCAACAAAATAAAATGTTATTATTTGATATTATTAAAATTACCGTCTTTTAAATGTGTGCGAACTTTCCCACCGATCGGTCATATAGTTTAAAAGTTATTTAATTTATTTTTCTTCAAACGTCAAATAATGATGACATTACTTATCTAACTTGATCCTGTCAAAGTTTGATGTCTCCGCCGGCAGCAGTTTTTTTTTGCCCATTTCTTTACGGCGGAGGGAAAAATGTTATCATGGCAACAATATGAAACAAGTCACAAAGCAATAATACAAATGTCATTAATAACAATTAAACATCATTTTTATTTATAGTAATATTAAAATACAATTAGTTAATGAGGCATTTTCAAAACTGAAACCGTGCAAAAATGTTCCCGACTCCTGAGACGCATTGGTAATTGTTGATGATACTGATGGTCGAGAACAACTTTCAGCAATCATTCCCGATGTTGGCGAATCATGAGAGTTTAAAATTGTTTGAGCATTATCGTTCTTATTTCTTTTTAAATCCTCTATATATCCTTCGGCAACCGTGCTTGATTTCCAGCCTCCATGTCGTTTGAGGCATTCTAGATTTCAGCCTCCATCACTTAAAAGTGTTGCTGAAGGTCGTCGTAAAGAGTGACCCGTGTATGCACTTGCATCGTTTAAATTTAAATAACTAACTACTTTTTGGGCTACTGCGCTGATCGAATGTATTCCCATGACGCTTCGATAACACTTTCCATATTGGTACTTGATAAAAAATCGGTTTTCTGTGAAATTTTCAGGAAGCAGTGATGCATACTTTTTATACAGTTTAATGTAGTTTTGACCAATTATCGTAAAAGATCTAATTTGTCGTGTTTTACTGTCTGGGATTTTGATAATTATTACATTTTCTTTATCCTCAATGTCCACAGTCTTCATTTTTACCATTTCGTCGCATCGACATGCGCCGGTAACCCCAATTAACAAAACAATCTGAAATATTTTTATAATTTACAAGAGTATACTACATGCTTTGCAATATAATTTCTTTACCTTTAATCCTAAATACAACTTATCTGGCGCTTCAAACAAAAATGTATTAAACTCGTCTTTAGTGAAAACTTTAGACTTCTTTGCAGTATATTCTTCGCTTGTTTTTTTCAGAAAGGCACGTAACTTTAAAAATTGGCTTATATTCACATTTTTTCTAATAACTAACTCGGATTTTATCATAGAGTATCGTGACCACATTGTAGAAGATTTCCATTTATTTTCATTTTCCATTATATTAAAATATGCCAGTAAAACGTCTTTAGTAATTTGCCGTACTCCTCTTGTATCGCACCACTCTTGGAAGTGCTTGTACGCTAACCGATACTTTATTCTGGACTTGGAGGGCCCCAAACGTGCTACTGCATCGTTAGCCGCGGACTCATTTCGTTTAGGTTTTCCATTTTCGCACTAAATTTGCGCTTGCGGTTGCAACAACAATAAGCTATCTTTAATAATTGCAAACAACTGTCAAACAACTGTAACCAGGGAGACGCAAATCCCACTGCCGACTGAATTATTTTAATTTCTAACATCTAGACGACTTTGATAGTTGTCACAGTTAATTTCGAATAAAAATAATGTATGAATTGTACTATTTATGGTTGAAAATTGCTACGTTTGAAGAAAAAATAGTATACTTTATTCGGCAAAGAAGCGACTTTTCTTGACTTGCCCTCTATTACGCGCCTCACTTCGTTTGGCGCGTAATATCGGGCGCGTCAAGAAAAGTCATGCTTCTCCGCCTCATAAAGTAATATACTATTTCCCTGCGGCTAAAAATATTTAAACTATTGAACTTGTTTTATTACTTATAGACACATTTAGTAATTTTCATAGGATTCTTTAAGACTTAAGCTATCTCAGAATTTAACTGAATATTGCATTTTCGTCGAAATTATTTACAAAATAACGTTTGAAAAAGGGGTATTTTTTTTTTTTACTTATAAACATCTGTAATAACTTCTATATTTTTTAAGCTACAGACTTGTACGTACAACCATTAGACAGCTGGTAAAAAAACTTACATTAAAAAAAACCTTCTATGATCAATAGGAACGAAGTTTTCGCGACTATTTTTTAAAAAAATCATATTTCCATTGTTTATAAACATTAAGAAGCAAAATTTGCACAAATTTTAAATGAAAATCTAAACTTTATATTGGAACTTATAGTTATAAAATTCATCCAATTTTTCCAAAACTTACAGCTCTTCGAAACAATGGTACTTTCAAGAAATCGATATAGGAAAGTGGAGAGGATAACTGTTTTAACTCCGTTCTTATTCGAGATCGGAACTTCAAATTGAAACACGTAGGAAAAATTCTAGACTAAAAAAATGAGGTCTAAAAGCTTCTTTTTTTTATTCTGGGGTAGCTCGTTCGAAATATGAATAACAACATAGTTTTCACTGGCCGGGAAATATGGGAAACCTCGGAAAAATCGAGCTCATTTGAAATTCACCTTAAAAACTTTATTTTTTTATTTTTTAATTTGGTTGGAATAGTCTGCCACAGTATTATTAATGATTAACAATCATTATTATATTGACATAATTTTCACCCCCCCCCCCTCCCCACCCGGAAATCTCGGAAAATAGACATGTTTTATATTTTTTGTCATTTTATATCAATGATACCTATATATTTTATAAATTTGATTTCAATTTATTTTTTTACATATTATAAATATTATTATGTTCCTTATATTAATTATAATTATGTTAATTTTCCGGGATTTCCGGGGAGGGGATGAAAATTATATCATCAATATTAATACTGCGACAGACTATTCCAGCCAAATTTAAAAAAAAAAAGTAAGTTTTTACGGTAAATTTTAAATGGACTAAATTTTTCCGAGTTTTCCCATATTTTTTGGCCAGTGCAACCTATGTAGTTATTCATATTTCGACGAGCTACCCCAGATTAAAAAAAGAGGCCTCTAGTTGCAATGGAAGCCAAGATAATGTAAATTTTTCCTACGTGTTTCAATTTGAAGTTCCGATCTCGAAAAAAAATGGAGCTGAAACAGTTATTTCCTCCACTTTTCTATGTCGATCTTTCGAAATTACCTTCGTTTCAAAGATACCCCTTTTTCAAACGTTTAATTTGTAAATAATTTCGATGAAAACGCAATATGCATTTAACTTCTGAGAGAGTTTAAGTCTTAAAGAATCCTATGAAAATTGCTAAATGTGTCTAGCATCATTAATAGAGCAAGTTTACATATTCAGCCTTAGGGAAAAATAAATTAAATAACTTTTAAACTATTTGACCGATCGGAGGGGAATTTCGCACAAAATTAAAAGAAAGTAATTCCTCGGTGTTCAAATGTATTAATAACATTTTATTTTGTTATTAAAAAAATTAATAAGATTTATAAATTAGTTCAAAAAAACTGTTTTTTTGCAAATATCTCCATAAATTATTTTTCAATTTTAATTTAAAAAAACGGAAAACTAAAGATATTCTTAATATAAAAAAATGATATAAATATTGTTAACGTAAAATATAAGGTTAAAAAATACAAGTGCTTTTTCATCTATTTGTCAGCTAGTAATCCCCACCTATATCTTAAAACCTTTTGATATCTGCGAAAAATTTTTCGAACTTTTTTTAACCAGACTCGGCTAGTAGTATATATAGTAGTTTTGTGTTATTGTGGTATATAAAGAACTTTGTATTTACTTGTATTTGACACGAAAAAAAGTGAGATTATTATCGCAATTTCATCCATACGACATAAATGACGATTTTGTTTACCTGAGGGTGGGATCATTGTATAAATAATCTTTTTTTCTTTTGTAGACATCTGCTAAAAATTTAGTAACTTTCACTCCTTCAGTGCACATTTTGATGGTTGGTTCCACCAATTTTGCCCATGGGACGCCTCCGCCAAATCTTTTATACATGTGCCAATACCCTCGTAATTCGCTTGGTACAGCGACCGCTTTACCTCCTACAATAAACAAAAATTACGTAACACGTTAAACGCCACAATGTATTTTAAAAAATTAAGTGGGCTAAAATATTATCTACGTTTACAATATTAGTTTATGCATATTAAATAGTTATTCTTTGTAGTCTACAAGTCCATGGGAGATTTTTAATGGTGATTTGACCCAGTATAAATCACATATAAAACATTAATATAATATGTGTTTAATCTCAAAAAATAATCCCTTAATTTGTAATCTCACATTATTCTTAACTTCTTAATCTTTTATAGTTTCACCGTGTATAAGTGAAACATTGTACACCCATATCGTATAATATTTTAATAATTAGTTCATTTACCTACAACTAAATAAATTGCCGAATAATATATTTTCTAATTGAACTTTCTAAGTGTCGCAATTACGGCCTAGATTAAATTGTAATGTGAGCTAATAGTTCAAAGTTTGTTGGTATGGTATGATAGAAGCAATAACCTTTGTGCTGAGGTATAAATTATTTGTGAGATTATAAATTGGGAATTTAAGCTCATGTGAGCACAGTCTATTATAAGTAGTTACCTAACATCATATAGTGCAATTTGTAGTAGCTGTCAATAAAATCAACATTTTTCTGCATAACTTCAATCTTTTATTATATTTATCATCGTCGATCGACAAGAAGCGGACAAAGAAGCATTATAAAACGATTACGATTCGAACCTCATAACTACGTTCGAATCTTTCCAATAGGTAATTATAACTTCAGATACTATGTCAATAATTCTCAACGGTACAGATGAGTCTTCAAGTGGGAGAGAAATTGTTGGCCAAACATATTTGTACGGTATTTATAAGTTAAGTAGGTAATACAGAAGTAATGACTTACGATCTAATGTCGTACAAAAATATTGGTACCAGGAATAGGAAAATTTTTTTATTTTCGCAAATCTTTTTCCCCATTTTAGTTAATTTGACACAGTACAGCACTTAATCACAAAATTTCGAATTGCTATGTAGATTTTTTTTGCAACGCCGTACATTTCTGCTGAGACAGGCGTGAGAAATCTGAGGCGCAACCCTTAATTTGAACCTCCATGTTTTGAGTCCTGATAAGAATTAGCGGCAAAGTTTCTGTAATAGAAGCCACAGTTAGAATGCAGTGCAGGTCTTACGGGAGAACGGCCGACCACGTTGCCGGATTGACCCGAGCGGCGCATAAGAACCGGATGTAACAATTATAGCACTGGAATGACTTCACAGAAGACTTTATACATGAAAAGCACCCGGTGATACCGCAAGGAAAATCATAGGAAACCAAATAAGTTTTATTAACATAAAAGAAAAATAGAAATTCTATCACCTCAAGAAAAACATATCCAGGCGCAGATGTCTTCTCAGATCTTAGTCTATTGGTTGCAAATATCAACATATGACTCAAAATAATTTATAGGAAAATGACACCCACAAAAAATTAAAAACGGAAATTAATAAGAATTTTGCGAAAATAGTTAAAGATACTACTAGAGGCATAGAAGAACAGTGAAACGAAATGAAGACATCTATTACTACAATTTTAATATATTTTAATCAAAAAGGGAAAAGAAGCAAGAATGGATGACAGATAAAATATTGCAGATGATGGAAGAGCGAAGAAAATTAAAAAGTAGAAATGACAACGAATACAAAAGTTGTATAAGACTATACTAAAGGAGATACAAGGAGTAAAAGAAGCATGGCTGATGGAGAAATGTATGGCAGTTGAAACACTGCAATGTAAACAATACGATTTCCATATGCACAAAAAAATTAAAGGGGTACAGAATATCAGAAAACAACGCATTACAGCCATAGTTGTAGACATTAAAGGTCAAATTTTGACTACCGTTGAAGATAAATTACGATGATGGAAAGAATATATACTATTTTTCAAAGTAAAACACTTGTACGTCACGATTTCTACAAAGTGACGTCACTTGTTTTTAAAATTTTCAAAACATCAACCTTAGAGTTAAAATTTTCCTACAACTAATAATACGAAACACATACGTAACTGCTCGATCTTCCATGCGTCAACATGGTGGAATAATCAGAAAAATGTAATCATCATAATAGTGGAAATTTTAGAATTATATTATAAATAGCCAAAAACATTTGTTATTATTAATAATATAAATTTTATGAAATAACTTTTTAAGTCTACTTTAAGTCAAATTAATAATTTTAGTTAAATATATTAGACAATTGTACGCAACTGATATGGAAATACTTCAAATTTTATTGGCAGTTAAGCGGGTGGCACAAGTGTATTAAGTGTTGCCGCTTTTTTAGAGTAAGAACTTTGTTTATGTTTTGATTTCTTACACAATTTAATCATAATATAATATATATTAATAAATTGCATTTATAAATGTAAATTAAATTTATATTAATAGCTTTAAAAACTGATTATACTTGTGTATTGTGATTGTGATATTCCAAAAGAAATAAATAGTCTGTAGAAATAAATAGCTTTCATATAAGATAGATTATTGTAAACAAGAAATAATGGCGGGATTTTTACTATTAAAATCCTAAAAGAGGTAAGTTTAAAATTTAGAATATATAATTTGTATTAAAATGGTTTCGTATGTATTTTAATGTGTTGCAGTAGTCCTTATTTACTGTTAATATTATAGTTTAACAAATAGTTGACATTTTAAAAATTGCTCACTTACTAACTATTCTGATGTTTTGGCAACGCTGTGGGGTTCTGAAGACGTAAATCATGAATGACGTGCAAGCTTTTTTATATGAAAAATGCTATATGCAAGAATTATTCTAAGATGCAGCCCCAATTTTGACTGAAATAAACAATCCCTACGGCCCAGAAATTACAAACGAAGAAATAACCATGGCTATTTATCGGATTAAAGATGGGAAGTCACCAGGACCGGATGACGTGCATGGTAAAATTTTAAAGCTATTAGAGGCATACCAAATCACAGCTCTTACGAAGCTATTTCAATAACATCTACGAGACTGGTTACTTACCAAAAGACTGGCTAGTATCGCTACTAATTTAATATGCATTCTACTTCCTAAAATAGCTAACGCTAGAAAATTTTAAGTACATAGATTTTTTATTTTTATGAGTCATGTACTTAAAGTACTCCTTACTATTATTATTCGCGCATATAGACCAAATTAGAAGAACACCTAAGTGAAGTTCAATTTGGATTCAGAGCAGGACTCGGAACGAGGGAAGCACTTTTTAGTTTGCCAGTTCTAATACTGAGAGCCAGGGATGTCAACCGTGATGTGTATGCCTGTTTCGTTGATTTCGATAAGGCATTTGATAAAGTCTCACGGGGAAAACTAATCGGTATCCTAAATACATTAGGACTCGATGGTAAGGATAGAAGACTGATCTCAAACTTATATCTCCAGCAAAAAGCAACAGTATGATTAGAAAATGAACTGTCCGAGATCTTCTCAGTCGAAAAAGAAGTTAGACAGGGTTGCATATTGTCACCAGCATTATTTAACATATACTCTATAAACATCTTTAGAGAGGCCTTGGATGAATCATGGGATTGCTGTAAATGGCTAACTTATAAACATTAGATATGTTGATGTGTTGATATGTTGATGACAGATAGTGCGCAGGGACTTTAAAGGATGATGGATAACATTGTAGAAACATGTAACAAATACGGCCTAAAATTGACTCACCCAGAAACCCTCACAAGAAGGATTTGAAAGATAACAACAATACCATATATAAAGGGCTTATGTAAAAAACTAAAGAGGATACGATACAAGTAAAACATCACAACAACTTTAAAAATAACCAACATACTGAGGCGTATCCTGTCCAACACCAAATCCATCAACACACAAGCAAGAAACAAAATGCATTTATAAAATACGCTATAAATTTAACAATTTATACGTAGGAGAAACCACAAGACCACAAAGTATCAGGATCGACAAGCGTGAAACCTATATCAAGAACAGAGACTTCGAGAAATCCCAGATACGCAAACATACCTGGTACAACGAGTATACACCACAGTAGAATACATACCACATACAATTGAAACATAAAAAACGGAAAAGTTAAAGAAACAGTGTCTTCATCCTACTCAATGAAAAAAAATTTGTAGCAAACCCATCAGCAGAAGGTATCAGGCTTTGGTTGCTAATATTAAAAGAAGAAATCAACAACAAGAATATACCAACAATAGGAGAGTAATAAGAGGTCAAAAACGTTATCTACATTCTTACACAAAACACATATGCAACACACGATATAAATGAAGAACAATTCTATTTTGCTCACACCCACAATTAAGCTTTTTATTAAAACATAACGAAAAATACTCAGAAGAATAGTCAGAATTTGATATTCCCAGAGTAAAAACACCACCCGTTTTGTACAGCCATTATATTCTGTTTGTCTATAAGATTGAGGTCAAGCACGTTAATTTTAAAAAGACCTTGCCAATAACAAAACTTGGTTGGTTATACATTTTCCAAAATTTGTATAATAATCTTTTTTTGAAAACGATTTCTGGAATGAAAATCGAAACGTCAAAACATTAGTTAAATAGTTAAAAACATTAGTTAGATGAAAAAAAAGTGATTTTTAAACCAATATTTGTCGCTTAATTCCATATAAACGTAATATTTAAATTAAACACTCAATAAGAAAATAGTTTCAGAACCTTGCTGGACTTTCCTTAATAAAACAACAAATAATGCAGAGGAACTAATGATTTCAAATATTTAACTTAATGGTCACACTTGACTTTAAGTTGACTGGAATGTTCAAATCAAACAAAAGTAATAATCAACATAAAATTGAGTGTTGCAATACAGTCACGTTTCCCCAGTGCGACAGAGAAAACTGACGCAAAGCAGTCCCTGCATCTTTGTCTAATGGGTTAAGTTTATTAACAACATGACCTTCTCATTGGTCATTTAGGTCATGTGGTCGATAAGTCTGACAACCTAGAAAGATATGCAGGGACTACTTTGCGTC